CCCCAAAACCCCAAAACCCCGATGAGCTAAATTAGTCAAAGGTAAACAATTATGATAATGGAGTCAATAATTGAATATAATTTTATCATATTTTAATAAGTATTAATGATCGGTACTCAAAAAGTGAAATTTTTAAAATAATAATATAAACTTATTAAATATCAGCTTTGGAGCTATAAATAGTCAGAGATTTGCCTTAATTAAAATATCTTAAATGTTGGAAGGAAAAGGTTCCCAAGTCTAGGCACCCCTAGATCCAAATAATAATTCTACTAAAACTTAAGCTAATCAGAATTAGCAAATAATTAACAATCCTAATAAAGAATTATATCAAAAATACATAAATTTGAATGAAGCTAGCATTTGTGAAGAAGGAGTATTCAAGGTCTCATCAGTTTATCATAATAGTCTTTCAATCGAAGGAGTTAGGCTGGTAAAAAATTAAACTTAAATCTTTATCAATGGAGTTACTGAATAAAGGTCCACTGGAGATTAAGTAAGTTATTGTTAGCTCAGAGATATAAACACATATGAAGAGATTAAACTGAAAGTACTTGATGTTGAGTATCATTACTTAGAAGCCTAAAATAAATTTAGAAATCTGAATGAATTCAATGTTTCTCCTTGTGGAGAATATTTACTCTATAATATACAGCTATCTAGATAAGTAAGATAATAAATACATGTATGCATTCACAAAATTGACGATTTCTTTGATAACAAACCACCTATTATAAAGATTGGCAAGGATTTGTTCGATGGAAGATTTAAAAATATATTGTTTGGATCCCTAAATTAAGTTATTTTTACACAATAATTGGACAGCAATAGCTAAACTCCGTGGGAGCTTAAAAGTCTTGTTATCTTCAAATGCAATTACACTAACCCGAAATCATTGGAAACTGAAGTGTATGATTTATAAAACTGGTTCAAAGATGTACCAAAAAGAGGGAATGTAGGAGACAAACCAATGAAATATATATCATCTGATGGAGTTTTTAGAAGTTTTATTGGATATCCTGAATTCGAATTATCTGATTTCTTTATAGATAAGTTTTTATTCGCAACGTATAAATAGACTAGAACCTTAGTGTTTGACCAATAAACTCTCAATATCATATTTGACCTTGACCATCTAATATATTTTAGCTAAGACACAGAATATCTAGGATATGACCGTTAGTTTAATATTTTCTAAGTAACTAAACCTAATTTTGGGAATATAGAAAAAATTGGATAACTTATTCCTCCAGAGCAATGGGTTTATGACAGTAAAAAGCCTCATGTAACAAACATTTCAATCATTATGAATGCATAAGGTAAAATCAAAAAGAAAGGAGCTGTCTTAGTCTACGACAAGCTCAGATTTAATCTTATTAACAAATTTACTTTGAAAGAAATTTATGAAGAAAAAAACACAGCGATATATTATCATTAAGGGCTCTTAAAATACTTCAATAACGATAATAAAAAATTTCTTAAAATCAATCTGTATAATTCAAAATATGAATAAGAGGACAGCAATATTTATTAGCATTCAGATCTTTATAAGTCTGATGATTCATGCTATGTATATAATTGGAATAAAATATCTCAAGTATACGATTTAGAATAGCAAAGAGTTTCTGGCACACTCCCAGCTTATTTATAACCAAAAATGTTTATGAAGCTAGGAACTTAATACTATCTTGCGCAAATTGATGCATCAAGCCTTTATCTTATTCGTTAAAATGATACAAGAATTATTTAAAAAGTAGGTATTGAGGGAGGAAAATATGGAAATGAACTCCAATAAGTTATTTCAATGTCAGATTAAGAAGTTTAAATACTTGGACTCTCTGATAATTCAATAATCTAAATTCTTCACATAAACCTTCTTGAATTTACTGCTCAGATTTAATAACTCAAAGTCTTTGAAGGAAAATATAAGAAAACATTGAGAGTTGATTAAAAGGATATTTATCAAATATTTAAGAATGAGTAATCTAACTAGATTCTGATAGTTGTAGTCGTTTAAAAGGTACTTTATATCTATGATTTTAATTAAAAAATACTTAATGAATACAAAGGAGATTTCCTTTTTATAAGTCTTACAATAAGCTGGAAAGATAATGCTCTTATTGGACTGGTTAATCAGAATATGATAAAAGCATTTGAAATAAATACGGGGTAACTACTTCCTAATCTTTGTTACACAAGTAAAAACAAGATTACTAATATAAAAGTGGTCTAAGATTACCTTTTACTCTATTTGTCTGGTGATATTAATGCATTTGAACTTATTGAAATAAAGAACAGCTGTTTTACACAATAGAGAGTTTAATTTCCACTTTATCCTCTTGAGGACTTTTGCTAATATCCAAGGAATTATCAAATGATAACAAGTTAATCAGACCGTAGCATTTAGTACTAACTTTGTAGTACTGATGAAAAAGAGGATGTTTAAAAAACTACCTTAGTTAGAAAAATTGATCCTCTTAAATTGTTTCAGACAAATAATTCTAGAAATCTTGATTATCCTCTTATTTAGCTTACTCATTTGCCAACTGCTAAGTTTGTACTCTTAGATAAAAACAATGGAATGAGCTTCTATCACGATGAAAGAGATAAGAGAATAGGCTTTGTTAGCACATACTTCATTACAGATGAAATAGTAAAAATAAAAGAAGCTAAAGTGATGAATAATGATAATCTACTCACAGAATTGAACGATATTAGTTCTTATCTTAAATACTACCCAGGGATAGGTAATATTTTGAATGAGGTAGCTCTAAGACCTATTATCCTTGAATTTCTAGCAAAGAAACTTTCTCTAATGGATAAAAGTGAAACTCCTATTGTTATTATGAGAAACGAGATTAATGGAAAATCTCCTATTGATGTAGCATGTGACAAAAACCAAATAAAAAGCTTAACTATCTTTCTTGAACTTCTCACCAAATACCAAAATGATCACGGGTTTAATTACTTAATGGATGATAAATTAATTTACTTCATCAAAAAAGGTCTAGATCTCTCAGAATACTTTGATAGCTTACTACCAAAGCTTTCAATAATATCAGAAAATTACCCTACAGAGCATGAAGATGAAAATGAATACATTTAGAGTGTTAATAATTTAGAAAGACCAAGTGATATCAATTAAAAATATGAGGAAATCTTTGGATAGATTTTGGAAATAAATAAATCAGAGGGTCTTGCTTCTATAGAATACTACTTGATTAATCTTCCTTCAACTTTGACAATAAACCCGAAAAATCTAATGAAAACTCTAAGTGAGACTGAAAAGATTGAGTACTTTGAAAATCTCACTATTCAAACAATCATCAAGTTCAAATGGAATCATTATACAAAAAACTTTTTCTAAAATCAGTTCTTAATCTTCTTGATTTTTGTTGTTTCCTTTGTGTTTGAGATTTACTATTCTATAAGCAGTGGAAAAACATAAGCTCAACCGTCAAAGGAGGACTTATTAAAAGGTATGGAAATAAATGAAGACACAAGAAACCTTGCCACAATGATTGTAAACAAATGTATATGCACAATAGTTTTACTTTATTTCTTCTATTATGAAGTAAGATAAGCAAGAAAATAAGTTGGGTATTTTAAAGAGCTATGGAATCTCTCAGATTTTTCCTTGATAGCTTCTTACTTTATTCTAAATATTATTGAGTTCACTTCAGATGATAGAAATGCACTTGTTATCATGCAAATCATTGTTGTACTCTTTTCCTTCCTTAAAATTAACTTTTTCCTTAGAATCTATGATGGCTTTAGCTTTTTGGTCTCTATGATGGGAGGAGTATTCAAGGATATTTACTACTTTATACTTTTCTTTGTCATCTTTATTTTATAATTTGGATTGATATTCATTATCCTATTCAGTGCCTAATATTTAGAGGAATATGATGGAATAGGCACTTTTGGTTATTTTTTAATGATTTTCAGAATATCTTCAGGTGATTTTGCTGTTGATAATTACAAAAATTAGGGTTCAACATTAATGATTACCTTATCTTGGACAATTTGGGTGATTGCAGTTTTAATTCTCAATATTGTATTTATGAACTTTATTATTGCTGTTATCTCAGAGTCTTATGAGAAAGTTATGCAAAAATTAGTCGCCTAATCATACAAAGTCAAAGCTAATATGATTGTTGAAAGAGAATTGCTTTTGAATCCTATGGATGAAGATGAAAGGAATTTTTATTATCCTCAGTATATAATTTTAAGAAGATCAATTGAAACTCTTGATGGTGAATCAGGTATACAAATGCTATTATCTTAATTATTATATAGGAGAATGGCAAGGATTTATTAAGGATTTGAAATATACAATTAGGACTTCAGCTTTAAAATCAAAAGCAGAGGTGATTCAAAATGTGGTTCCAATCTAAAATAAAATTGAGGCTTTAGAGAAATATTCTATCTCTTAACAAGAGATGATGTCCAATTTAAGAGCAGAAATAGGTGATTAGAAGATGCTCATTTAATTACTCTAAAAAAGTGTCTAAGACTAAAATCTTAAAAACGAAACCTCTGCTTAAAAATAAGATATAAATAATCTTAACTCAAAGTTAGAAACACTGTCAATCAAAATGTAAGGATGCGAAACAGCATTACAACTCCTTAATGCTAATATGTTAAAACTCCTTGAGAAATGAGTCTAATTGAATAATAATGAATTAAACTTATATAAATATAACTTGATGGACAAAAAGAAACATCTTGCCTTCTATTTTAATTTCATAACTCAAACATAAAACTCATTTTACTCTATCGGGGTTTTGGGGTTTTGGGGTTTTGGGGTTTTGGCGTTTT